TTTCCTTCGGAAACTTAAATAAAAATATTTACTCACTTAATGGTGTCCTATAAGTCCTGCAAGTATTCTTTATTCTTTCCTTTTTTATTTTCACTTTAACAAGTTCATTCATTCTTTCTTCCTTGCTTTCTTTCTTTCTTTTTTTTTTTTAGATTTCTGCCCTAGGGCATGCGTGCTCACCAGAGAGTTAAAGGGTGAGAAATCACCCTTGTGGGGGCATGGTCACACCACAATCCCTTCTCCTCCATTCTCCTCTTGGGATGTTGGGCATGTATGCACATGTTCCTGGCATGATTTTCAAGCCACCAAGTCCAACACTCAAACCATTGTTGACCATTAAGGAATCCAGTGCCTTAACCACCACACTATCTGTTGTTCTCAGACCAAGTTATTTCAAAAGAGCTGTCTTTAATTTCAGAAATTCTTTCTTCTGCTTGCTCTCAATTATATTTTTTATTTCATTCATTGAATTTTTCAACTCCAAGATTATTGTTTGGTTCATTTGTATGATATCTATTTGTTGAAGTTTTCATTCATTTTTCTGAATTGTTTTCCTGATTTTGCTTTATCTTCCATCTGTAGTCTCCAATATCTTGCTGAATTTCCTAAAGTTCATTATTTTGAATCCCTTTTCAGGAATTTCATAGGTTTATTTTTCACTGGAGTCTGTTACTTAAGAATTATTGTATTCCTTTGGAATAGTTATGTTTCCTCCTGTTCCACGTTTCTTTGTTTCTACATTGATACCTGCACATCTGGTAGGACAGTCATGTTCTCTAATTTTATAGCATAGCTTTGTAAGTAAATAGTTTTTCTCATCAATCTGTCCCATAGTGTCAGTTAGGAGAGTGCTTTGGTTTTGGTTCTGGGTGGGTACAGTAGTGTAGTGTTCATGTGATCTTTGGCTATAATCAACATCAGCAGTGTCTGTGAGAGCCTAAACTGCTAATGTTTATGGAAATAGTGGCACAGCTTTGCAAGGGTGGCAGTTGCCAAGAGGTCTGTAGGCCCTGGTGGAAGGGATCACAGTAGCACTACTAGTTGAGAGAGCAGGGTTACAAGGGGCAGTAGGCACTGGAGGGGGCCCCTGGTGTCATGTACATCTGAGTCCCCTAGTCTTGGGAGTGACTTGCCTGTTGTGCTGGCCTGCCTGTTTGCTGCAGAACACAGTGCAACATGAACTCAATTACTTGGGTCATGAGTATATCACTGGGTCCGATGTGGCTATAGTACTTCATACTTTTGTGGGATAAAAGTTGGGCCTTAAAGATATGGAGATGTGGTGGATATTGGTCTTTAGGCAAAATGCACTCTAGCAGTGACTCTGGCACTGTGTCAAAGCTACTTGGATCCCACTGAATGGAGGATACTCAATATGAACTTCTCTGAAGTAATATAGCTACGTGGGCTCTAGACAATTCCCTATGCTGGTCTTAGAGCCTGCGAAGACTGTGGGGCTCCTTTGAAGCTAGAGCAGCAAGTATCTGTCATGGTAATGGGAATTGTTATGGATCTTCTGCTTAGCTCTTCTCCACAATGGAGAAACTGACCTGACATATGCTTTGCTTCCCTCTGTATTCTGCCATTCAAGTCTCTGTGTTTCAGAGGGCTTCCATCACTTCCTTGGCAACTTTAAATATTCTTCCCTAGACACTCAAAGAGTAATTTATTTGTTGTTTTGGTCCTTCTTTGTAGAAGATCTAAGCCCTCAATACCTCTAGTTAGACATCTTGATAACATCTCCGGAAGAATGAATTTAAAAACAAAATCCATCTATACATTGTCTACAAGAGATTTATTTTAGATTCATAGAAATAGGTTGAGAGGTGAAGAGCGTAGGAAATTTGGGGGAGAAATGGAGAGGTAAGACACTTGCAGAACACAGATAAAGTTTATTATCTGTTGACAAGGTTGTGTATGGTGGTCTCGACTGGGCTGGACTGAGGTGTATATCATGCTGGGTAAAGTCTCTTCACAATCTAAATGATGTATAGTGATTTAATGTATGAATAATAATAAAAATATATATAAAAATAGAAAAAATAAATAGGTTGAAAGTGAATGACTAGAAAAAGATATTCCATGAAAATAATAACCAAATGAGAGCAGTGGTACCCTATAATAATATCAGATGAAATAGACTTTAAATCAGAAAAAGGCTGCAAAAGACAAAGAAAGACATTATAGGGTTAGTGTAATGGCTATGTTGCTGGACTCCCACGTGGTCGACCGCGGTTCGCATCCCAGACCCGGTGGCTTAAAATTCACGCCAGGCGTGTGTGCGTGTGTGCCCAAGATCCCGAGAGGAGAACGGAGGAGAAGGGACTGCAGCGTGGCCATCCCCCCTGGGGGGTGATTTCTCGCTTTCTGTGTCTGTCTCTCTCTGTCTGTCTGGCGAGCGCAAGCACCCTATAGCAAAAACCTATAAAAAAAAAAAAAAACACAGACATTATATATTAATGCAAAATTCGACACAGCCCAGGATATAACAGTTATAAAGTTCACTCATCTAATAACAGGTCATCAAAATATAGGAAGCCAAAACTTCCCAGGACTGAAGTGAGAAACAGACAATTCTGCAATAAAAATTGAAGACTTCAGTACCCAACTTCAAATAATGAATAGAAAAATAAGGCAAAAGATAAGTAAAGATCTAGAGAATTTAAACACAATAAACCAACTAGATCTAAAAGACACACACAGAACATTCTACCCAACAGCAGCATGCACATTCTTTTCTTATGCACATTTTTCAAGATAGATCAGATATGTTAGGCCATAAATTAAGTCTCAATAGAGATTTTTAACTATCATGCAAAATATATTTTCTTACTGCAACAGGATGAAGTTAGAAATAATAAGGGAAATAATATTTGAAAACTCACAAATTTGTGGAAATTAAGCAGCATAGTCTTAAAACCAGTGGATCAAGTAGCATAATGGTTACATCGCTGGACTCCCGCATAGTCCACTGCAATCTGAGTCCTGGACCCAGCAGCTTAAAACTCATGCCAGACGCAAAAGCATGTCTGTCCAAAATCCCAAGAGGAGAATGGAGGAGAAGGGATTATGGTGTGACCATCCCCGGGTGTGGGTGGGGGTGGGGGGGTGATTTCTAGTTTTCTGTCTCTCTGTTTCTCTCTGTCCAACAAGTGCACACATCCTATAGTAAAGAAAAAAAAAAGAAGAAGAAGAAGAAGAAAGAAAAAGAAAACCCAATGGATCAAAGACAAATAAAATTACAAAGAAAGAAAATAGTTAAGAGATAAGTGAAAATGAAAACACAATGTGCCAAAACTTATGGATACAGTAAGAGCAGTACAAAGAAAGGAATTTATAGCCATAAATGCTTATATTTAAACAAAGAAAAATATCAAATAAACAACCTAACTTTACCAGGGAACTAGAAAAAGAGAAACACACTCAACCCAAAGTCGGTAGAAGGAAGGAAATAATGAAAATTAAAGCAGATCAGTGATGGGACCAGCAGTTAGCGTAATAGCTATGTTGCTGGACTCCCATGTAGTCGACTGCGATTGGAGTCCCAGACCCAGTGGCTTAAACTCACACCGGGCGTGTGTGTGTGTGTGCCCAAGATCCTGAGAGAGGAGAAGGGAGTAGAAGGGATTGCGGCATGGCCATCCCTCCTGGGGGGTGATTTCTCACTTTCTGTCTCTCTGTCTCTCTCTGTTTCTGGCAAGAGCATGCGCCCTATAGCAAAAGCCTCTCCAAAATAAGAAAAGAAAAAAAAAAAGCAGATCAGTGAAACAAAGAACAAACAATAGAGAAAATCAATTAAATCAAAAAGCAATTCTTTTATAAGATAAAAATACTTTAAGTGGACTAAGAAAAAAGGAGAGAGAAAACTACATAATTACTAAAAAGAAACAAATGACTCAAATCAAAATGAAAGTGGGAATATTAACTGCTGATTCTACAGAAGCATAAAGAATTCAAGAGAAGTCTGTGAGTCCAGCTACATAGCTCAGCAATCGGGAAGCCAGATGCCATATGGCCAACTGCAATTTGAATTCCAGCTGTGGTGGCTTGAAAAAACATGCTCACATGTGCATGCATGCCCAAAACCATGATAGCAAGAAGGTATGGAGAGAAAAAAGATAGCAGCTTGACCCTTTGATGGTGTGCTTTCTCTCTCTGGCATGTGCACATGCCCTCTGGCAATTAAAAGAAAGAGAGAGTACTTTGAATGACTGCACACCAATAAACTGGATAATCTAGACAGAATAGGTCAATTCCTAGAGACACAAAATGTACCAATAGTGAACAGAATAAACTAGAAAATCTGAATAGAACTGTAACTACTAAAGAGATTAAATCAGTAATCAAAAATCTCCCAACAAAGCCAAGTCCTAGACCTGATTGTTTTATTGATGAATTTTACCAAACATTTAAATAAGAACTAGTACCAAACCCTTTCAAACTTTTCCAGAAAAGGAGAAGTGAAAACCTCCTAACTCATTCTATGAGAGTAGCATTACCCCGATGCCAAGGTCAGACAAAGACACTATAAGAAAATTACAAATCAATACCCCTGATGAACATAAAATAATTTCCACCTCAGGCAAAGTTAGGTTAGGCACATCCATGAAGTAAGATCAACTGTAACAAATCAACTGCTATTCTCAACTATTTCTTTGTGCAGGAAGTTGTGTGTGTGTGTGTGTGTGTGTGTGTGTGTGTATAAAACGGGATTAAAATCACTGTTATGTGAAAGGGAAGGAATCTTTGTTGGAGGATGTTTTCAGCTGTGGATTGTATGTGTACTTGTGGGCCTCATACATGTCACAGGGTGTATATCACCAGAAGATCTGGTCCTTAGCTTCAGAAGAAACATGTAACCAAGCATCCAACTCATCTAACTGGCCACCATGTTTCCTCACTCATACTGAGCGAATGGAAGTCTGGCTGTGTGCGAGGCTGAGAGAGAGGGCAGGGGAAGGGTTTATTCTCTCTCTCTTACCATGAACTTTTCCTGGCAGCCAAAATGATGAGATGGAAAAAGGCAGACCAGTGGCTACTCGAGAAATGCATTGGTGGGGTCAGAGGAATGTGGCGCTTCTGTTCCTACCTCAACAGCAGTGCAGGTGGGTTCTTGAAATTGTTCCTAGTGCCTTTGAAAGCTCTGAACAGTTTTCCTGGATAGGAACAGGTTCCCCCAGAGCCTCAGCGGACAGTTATATAATGCAGTCTGGATAAAAATCTTTGAAAAGCAGGCTCCATAGTATAAAGTTAGGGTAAAAGCAGTAAGAGTCCCTTTCATTTACTTATTTATTTATTCATTAATTCATTCAGTAATCTTTCCTTTTTTTTTTGGAGAGATTTTCACTGTAGGGTGCATGCGCTCGCCAGACAGACAGAGAGAGACATAGAGACAGAAAGCGAGAAATCACCCCCCAGGGGGGATGATCACACCACAATCCCTTCTCCTCCATTCTCCTCTCGGGATCTTGGGCACGCACACACACGCACCCGGCGTGAGTTTTAAGCCACCGGGTCCGGGACACGAACCACGGTCGACTACGTGGGAGTCCAGTGACATAGCCATTACGCTAACTGCTGGTTCCCAGTAATCTTTCTTTTTTAAGATTTGCCATAGCATGTGTGAACCTACTAGAGAGAGACAGAGAGAGGGAAAGTGAGAAATCAGCCCCCCCAGGGGGGATGGCCACACCACAATCCCATCTCCTCCACTCTCCTCTCAGGATTTTGAGCACACATACACATGCTCCTGGCATGATTTTCTAGTCATTGGGTCCAGGAAACCATAATCAGCCATATGAGAGTCCAACACCTTAACCATTACACCATTCAATAATCTTTTTGAGCACCACTATGAGGCAACCACTATGCTGGTGGGTTGGCATACAAAGGTGAACAAGATCTGTAAGTTTCTACTTCATAAAGCTACTGCTATGGCAGGGAGGCAGACAAGGAACAAGTAAATAAATCACTGTAGCAAAAGTGTTGGGAACTACTCTCCTTATTTTGTTTGGTCTGGTAGTTGCTGAGTGCTGGGAGGCTGGCAGCTGGCACCAGCTGATGCGTCAGCTCAGCAATACTAAGTTGCATCCAGGGACAAGTCCTAGTTTAAGGGTGAAGTCCTCAATCTCCAGGAGGCACATTGGGGAAAACTGGACTGAATGTTTCTTTTACTTTGTCTCTCAGACTTCAGCCCTAGCAAAGTTTTGAAAGAAGAAACATAGTTTTTAGCTCATATCCTTCTGCTGGCTCTTTGGGTCCATGACCTAGGAAATATTCTTCTTACTCTAATCTGCATTTTTGAGGGACAAAATTCACATCTTTTGATTCCTCTTCAGAGTCTTGCAGTCTTAAGTAACTGGTTTTTTTTTAAAAGAATTATTTATTTCATTTTATTTATTACTATCATTGATTTTTGTTTGTTTGTTTGTTTGTTTTAAATTTGACTGGAGAAAGGAAAGTGAGAAAGCAAGTTACCAGGTCCAGGACTCAAATCACGGTCAGCCATGTGGAAGTCCATCACCTTAACCATCATGCCACCTCCCAGCCCCTAGTGACTATTTTACTAACAACAGTAACAATAACAAAAAATTCACAAAGGATTCCTATCCAGTAAGTCTCTTTTCTCCATGCCTCCCATCGTCCTCCAATTATCAGTAGAACTTTTCTGGAAATGAGGCCTTAACTCAAAGGTGTGACAGATAGTGGGTGATGTGATGTCGCAGAGCAGGCCCACATGGGGATTTCAGGGCTTCACCCAGATGCAGCTCTCCATGGGGCAAGATTGAGATGCATCTCTGTATCCCCCCTGTCTGGTCCTAGGTGAAGAGTTGCTGGATTTCTGGATCCTTACTGAGAAGATCCTGAGCATAGATGAGATGAACCTGGAAGTGAGAGACTACTACCTGTCTCTGTTGCTCATGCTGAAGGCCACCCACCTACAGGAGGGCTCCAGGGTCGTCACTCTCTGCAACATGAACATCAGTAAGAATAAGGAGTGTTGGAAGGCAAATCTCTGGGAGCTGTAAGGACGACAAAATATCAGTTCAGCATCTGTTATTCCTCAACATCTTGCTGTGTAGACTGCCACCCTTTCCATCTTCTGTAGCAGAGATGCCTGTGGGAACCACAACTGGGGAAGGGTTCAGAGAGACTGGTCGTCCGTAGATGGGTGCTTGCCTCTTCTTGGGATATTACCTGCCAGTGAAGGTTGGCTGGGAGGAAGGAAGAGGAATTGAGACAGGGTAATTGAGAAGCTCCAGTATCTTCTGAACATGCGTTGACCTGTCATTTCAGTCTTTTTAATTGGGATTCCCTAGAATAAAATATAGCCCATGGGCCAAATGCAGTATATGTGGCTATGAGCTAAGAATGTTTTTTCATTTTTAAAGGGTTACAAAAAAAAAAAAGAGGAAGAAAACTGCGCATCGGAAATTGTATGTGGTTCACAAGGCCTGAAATATTTACTATCTGGGGCTTTCCATATAAAGTTTGCCAAACCTTTCTCTAGACATCGAATTCACCCATACTTGTTTGTTTGATAAAGAGGCATTCCTAACCCAAACACAAGTGTGTTCTGGGAGATCTAAGTCACATTCCTCTATGATAATACAAATAACTGAGAATTTAATTGACATTAAAATCAGGGCTAATAAGGGCTCCTTCAAATTATTCAGTCCACACTTCTTCCTCTAGTCATATCTGACTCTGGGGAAACCTAATTTGATGTACTTGTCTCTTGTTTTTTTTAATTAATTCATTTATTTTTTTATTGCCAGTGGGTGTGTGCACTCACCAAAGAGAGAGAGAGAAAGAGGGGAAAAGCATCTCCCAGGGGGATGTGGTCACACCACGATCCCTTCTTCTCCATTTCTCTATCCTGTTGGAATTTGGGGAAGGCATGTACACATGCCTGGCGTGTTATTCAAAATGCTCGGGCCAAGATTTTTACCGTAGTCAGCCATGTGGGATCTGGCTCCCTTAACCATTAGGCAATAGGGCAACCTGATGTCTCTTATTCTTATTCATTTTTGTATGAATATATACATTTTGCTTTTCTTTACAGTAACAGTTATCTAAAGGTATTTTCATTTTATGGAGGAATTTCATAAGATGACTCATTTCTATGGGGATCAAATAAGGTAATCAGAAAAAGAGGTCACAATACACCTAAAACCTAAAAATGTGTCCATACTCCAGGACTGCATGAAGAACTAATGAAATGCTATACAGAAAGACGTTTGGAAAAATTTAAAAGCCTGTTCATTATTGTCATTGTCATTATCACATCATTTTCACCTTTGCTCTCTCTGTATTCTTTCCAGAGTCCCTCCTGAACCTCTCCATCTGGCATCCCAACCAGTCAACCACCAGGAGGGAGCTCCTGAGCCACATGCAGAAAGTGGCCCTATTTAAACTCCAGAGCTATTGGCTCCCTAACTTTTACACCCACGCCAAGGTGGCCATGGCCAAAGAGGAAGCATGCCAAGGTCTGATGCAGGAATACGAGACCCGCCAGTACAGTATTTGCTGCACACATGTGGGAGGACTCCCTCTAAACATGAGCATCAAGAAGGGCTGCCACTCACAGAAGCAGTACTCGAGCAAGAAGGCCAAGAGAAAAATGTGGCAACTGGTAGATCCTGGCTTTTGGTCCTTGGAAATGGACTCCAAGTCAGATACTATGACTGTTGCCCCTCAGGAGATGTGTTCTCCGGAAAATGTGGTTGTCCAAATGTCTTCCCTGAACGCAGATTCTTCAAAGGAGGGGATAACTAGTTCCGTTGAAAAGGATACTCAGTGCGCTGGGAAGTCTAGCATGAAGAAAGTCAACAGCCAGCTCTACATGGAGGGCCTCTTCAAGACAAATTTCTCTTCCCAGCTGAGGGCTACCACCCCCATCATCAATCATTCCTCCCAGGTAACAGTCAAGAAGGTCATCAAGCAAAGTTTCTCCCTGGGGTACACCTACTGGGCCTTGTGTGCTGATGTCTGTGCTGGAAGTCCTTTCCGAAAACACCTTAAAAAGCTAAATTTGAAAGTGGAGACCCAACTTTTGGAACTCTGGCAGGATCTGCATCATTTCCTCAGTGTCCTGATGAGTAATAGGAAGAATGGGAATGCTGTCTTTCGTCACATGCTGGGTGAAAGAATCTGTGAGCTCTACCTGAATGAGCAGATTGGTCCATCCTTACCGCTCAAATCCCAAACCATTCAGGGGCTGAAGGAACAGCTGCCTTCTGGAGATGTGAACCCTTGGATTCCCAAAGCCCAGAAGGAGATCTGCAAGGTAATATCTGCAAGGTAATCCTTGCCTCATGGAAATGGTTTGGTATCTGGCAGATTAGGTTAACCGACGAAAATCCAAAAATCCTATCTGTTTAACTACCATCAGTCATACCTCAATAATAAGATTAAAACAATTATATATATGTGTGTGTATACACACACACATATACACATACATATACTGTGATATGCATATATAATGACTGACTCTTATAATGTATATATAGGTACATATATACATCTATTATATACACATATAATATACTTTTTAATGTTTTAAATAGAAACCATATGCACTTATAATATATTATCTTATTATATTATATACTTATAATAAATAACAATGTGTTTTGGGAAAGACATGACACACTTTGGAATAGAAAAAATATGTCATAACTTTTCCAACAATCGATACTATAATTTAAAATATACATAAGCTTTATTTGTCTACTTCTTTTCTTCCTGTAGGGGAGGGCTTTTTGTCAGTGTCATCACCACTGTCTCTCAAATATCTAGAACACTACATGGCAGTGCAGTGTTCAGTGCTCAGTAGTGCTGATAAGCATTCAGACATTTGTTGTTTCAATCAATCCCAGTTGAAAATGACCCCTTTTGGGCCTTGACCTGTGTTGTCTCTTCTGGTTCAAGGCAAGTGATTCTGTGAGAATTTACATTTTCATCCATCTGTGTTCAACTATTCTTCAATGATCCAACATCCTTTCTTGAGTACCTGTAACATACCAGCTAACCTACCGATTTCCTGACATCTGACTCATGAGTATAGGAACAGAGTTGACATGGAGCAGAGGAAAAACTAATGATTTCAGTTCTGTGTCTATCATCATTTGGGCTTAGAAAAACTCAAAGTCTAAAGTTTTTAGACTGGGCCTCTTTCCTCATGTATAAAATTTTGGATTGGGGAGAAATCATATTTTGTAGTTACAATTGTGATTTAACACATTTGTAGATACGTTGAGTATACTATGGTATAAAAGGCAATAAGTAGAAGAGGGTATGAGCCTTGAAAACAGAACATCAACTTAAAAATCTGTTTTTTTCTAACCAAAGAGGGTAGGATTTATAGAAGGTGTTTAAGACAGCAGTAGTAAGGAGTTCCACAGAAACTGGTAAAGACATAAAAGAAGCCAACTAGGATGACAAGAATTATAAATTCCTTGATTCTATATAGACAAAGTCTAACATAAAGTAGATTAGTGACTACCAGAGGTTGAGAGGAGGGAAATGGGAAATTACTGCTTAGCTATTAACAGAACTACTGTTTGAGGTGATGAAAAACAAAAATAGAGCTGGGGCCAGCAAGTGGTGTAGTGGTTAAGGTGCTGGACTCCCACATGGCCAACCATGATTTGAGTCCTAGATCTGGCAGCTTGAAACTCACACCAGATGTGTGTACATGCATGCCAAAAATCCTGAGAGGAGAATGGAAGAGAAGAGATTGAGACCTGGCCATCCCCCTGGGGCATAATTTCTTACTTTCTCTCTTTTTGTCTTTCTTTGTCTCTCTACTGAGTGAACACACCCTATGACACAAATCTCTGCCAAAACACACACAAACACACATACATATTTAATTTGCTAGAAGGCACGTGCACTTGCCAAAAATGAGAGGGAGAGAGAATGAGAAAAAATTTCTTAGGAAAGATCATCACACCATAATCTCTTCTCTTCCGTTTCTCCCTGGATTTGGGGCATGCATGCACACACTTCCAGCATTTTTTACAAGCTTCTGGGCCCAGGACTTGAATTGTGGGATTAGCTATGTGAGAATCAGCTGCCTTAAACACCATGCCACTAGCTGACTGTGCATATATTTAATGTCACTGAATTGTACACTTACAATGGCTAACATGGTAAGTTTTGTGTTACATATTTTGCCACGAATATTTTTTTAAGAAATTAAGACTGAAGATACAAAGGACACAGATTTAGTGAGAAGAGTATGTTCATCTTCCAGCCCTTTTAATAGACCCACAGACCTTCATATAGGATAGTACCTTGAAGGTTCTCTCATCCTCTGCTCTCATTATACAAATGGCAGACCAAGCTCTAAGGTCTCACTGCTGTTTGTTGACAAGTGAAAACCAGTGTCCATCCTGTTCCATCTATTATAAGGTTAGCAACTAATCTGGTAGCCAATTCTGACTTAGAACCTGTATTTACATGGCCAACCAACCTAAGAATGGTTCTACTGATACGATTTTTTAAATGGTAGGAAAAACAGAGACAGAGAGGGAAAGTGAGAAATCACCCACTAGGGGAGATGACTATGCTACAATCCCTTCTCCTCCATTCTCCTATTGGGATTTTTTTTCTCTTTAAATTTATTTATTTTTTACATTAATTCACTATACATCATTACAGCATACAAATGAATTTTCCATCCAAAATACACTGTATATTGGCTCAATCAAGCACATCAACATACATGTTATCGGCAAATAATTTTCCAATTCTTATGTCTTATATACTTTGTTTTTT